ACCTTACACAAATTAAAATAGATGGTTAATGTCACACTAGGTGTGGGTCTGGTCTCCCCAGTTCTGGTGCTTGACTATCTTAGTGACATGATTATGAAGGACCTAAAATTACAGATGCAGAGGAGAGCGTTATGCCTCAGGACAGTTTTCAATAATCGATTTTCCTTATTTGCGAAAGTCCATTTAAAACACTAAATTTATTACTGTTTTATTATTTGTAATGTTGGCCACTGAAATATTATTTTCAAATAGCTCAAAATTGAGTTAATACAGAAAAATAAATGTGAGGGTGCTGTACCTTGAGAAATTCCATTGTATCAACGAATACATTAAAAGAAGCGAAAATAATTGCGAAAATGAGGATACGTGTTTGAATCAAAATCAATAAACAGAGCCTTCATTTTACGTTGTTGAACAAAATGTCTGACATATAGTGACGTGCATATACAAGTAAGGATGAAAAAATGAGATGCATAAAATGAGAGGTTCTGGGGAGAACTAGATATCTCTCTGCCTCCGAGTGTACCAGAAATTACAAAGTAAATAATGATACAATGTAGTTAATGTCCGTGCGTAATATCCACTAATACAGATTATTTTAATGTATTACAATAACTACATAATTTAAATGACATGTATTATACAGGGAGCACAGTAATCCATATATGGAATAAGCCTTACATAATAATGATCATTTGAACCGTTCCCATGAAGTTTGTTACTGACGGTGCTTAAATCTACAGATTGTATTCACTGATACATAACAAAGATGCTCTCTGTATTATTGAGAGATGAATTTGTAAATTAACTCAAGTTACGAAGAGTACTACAGATAACCGATTCCATATGAATTCAATTTGGCAAGCAATTTACATAATTTCTGTAATCATATACTAGAGATAAATTTAAAAAAAAAAGCCATTCAAATCATGTCTGCTCGTTTTTCAATGGGATGCTGTATACTTTCAAGAAAAGAATGTATTGCTGTAGCAGTTGATCTGTTTTCATTAAATCCATTTAGGGCTTCTCTTAATATGTCACTTCTTAAAAGTGATAGCAGTCTATAATTTTATACATCACTTTTATGAACCTATTTTACTTTAATAATTTTTATTTATCTACAAAACTGTAACTTATTATAAATATTATAACATTAACATTATAAATAGGAGGTATGGGCTTCTTGATGGAGTTCATGCATTTGCTTGACTGCATAATCTAGTATTTCATCAGAAAGTTTCCCCCCACGAGATTCCAAGTAACTTTTTCCATTTAAGCCCGCTGTACGTAAGTAAAAATTGTCGTCTTACTTTCTACTACTGCAGTGCTTATTGGTGGTGGCGTGTGGTATTACAACTAAGAACAAACAAAATTGAATACTGGTACTATCAATTAATACAAATACAATTAATAGCAAATCTCTTATAAACACTAAAATTTGTAAAGCTACCCGCAGTGTATAAGGTAACTTTTCTTCCTTATGAATAGTTATTTTCTCAAGAGTACTTAAAAAATAACATCTTTTTGCTAGAAAATTTTATTCTCTGCATAAAGCATGTATTTCTTGGTGTACTTTCATTATGGACTACAAAATGTTAAAGTTCTTGATTATATTACACAACTTAAAAGTACACCATACGAATATTGATAAGTGTTTATTATTTAGTAGGATTTGAGGTTTTCATGTTGGTGAGTCTAAAGATGGGTTGTAACACCATATAGCCTGGTAGAAGTTTACCAATGTTTCAGAGGTGCTTGCTGTCTCCATCATCAGGATCATCAACCTGATGATGCTGTGATGCATGCTCTGATGTACCTTTATCACTGGTGTGTGGTCAGATGTACATTTTGTATTTTCTCATTTACACAACAAAATTTGTTATCAATAAATTAATAGCAGTTCCCTTGAAATGTGTCTGTTTGAGTGAAGAAATAAGTCTAATTCTTTAAATAGACAAAAGTTTATAAATTTTCTGGATCTGTCTCTTGAAAAGGAACATTTATTGTATTTACGTTTTCTATGACATGCCATTTCAAAGAAATATACCATTGAAGATTTCCATCTTCTGGGTTATTGCGCTGTGTAGTCTGGTCGATGTTAACCAACGTTTCAGAGGTCATACTGCCTCCATCATCATACAACCAAACTCACCTTTCTCTCTCTACTTTCTCTCCGTCTCCCACTCTCGCCCACGTGCTACCATTGGTCCACTCCCATTCC